ACCAGTGTGGACCTGGCAGGGGGACAGGCAGGACCAGTGTGGACCTGGCAGGGGGACAGGCAGGACCAGTGTGGACCTGGCAGGGGGACAGGCAGAATTCTCGGCCTCCTCCTCCCATTCTCCCTGCGTCACGGCTTCTAGACTCATGACTCCTCATGACTGCTCGACCTTCAGCTTGGGGAAATAGTATCCACTATGACTCACGTGCTACGTAAGGACAGTGCTTCCTTTTGAAAGGCTGTGGCTTCATTTGGGCTTTGAAGAAAAGGAGGCCCGTGTTCTTAGCCCATTGCCGCTGCCTCCTAACTGTGTGTCCTTGAGAAAGTCACTGTGTGGCTCGGAGCCTCTGCTTCCCCGTCTGTAAAATGGGGATAACGATAGTACGGACTTTATGTAGTTAGTGTGAGGGTCAGGTGAGAGAACGCATGTTGAGAATAGCCGCAGGCCTTTGAGAAGTTAACACTGCTGCTGTCATGTGCTGGCGAGTCAGCTACCACTCATAGTGACCCTATGAATGACCTTTGAACCTTGACCTGTCTTGAGCCAACCCCACCATCTATCTCCAACACACCCGACCTCCTGACCCCGGTCACTGTGTCAATCCATCTCATCCACGGTCTTCCTCTCCTGCTCTGACCCTTCACCCTCCCAAGCATGACGTCCTTCTCCAAGGATTGGTCCCTCCTGGCCACGTGCCCAAAGTATGAGAGACAGAGCCTCAGAATCCTTGTCTCCAAGGAGCAGCCTAGTTTTACTTTCTCCAACACAGATATGTCTGTTCTTTTTGGCAGTCCGCGGTATATTTGGCAGTCCGCGGTATATTTGGCAGTCCGCGGTATATTTGGCAGTCCGCGGGATATTTGGCAGTCCGCGGGATATTTGGCAGTCCGCGGTATGTTCATTACTCTTCTTCAGCATCACAACTCATTGTCTAGCTCTCAGATGCATAGCAAGCAGGTGAGAAGGGCATGGCTTGGATCAGGCACACCTTAGTCTCTAAACTGTCGTCGTTGCTCTTTAATACTTGGGAGAGGTTCTTGACTGACAACATGCCCATGATATGAGAGACAAAGCTTCACCATCCTTGCCTCTGAGGAGCATCCTGGAGCACTTTCTTCAAGACAGACTCGCTTGTTCTTTTGACCATGTTCTTTTAGTACCTTCTCCAGGGGCACAATTCAAAGACAGTGCTGCTTATTCCGCCTGCCTTATTTGTTGGCCACAATCCAGATGCACAGGAAGCAATTGAACTGTCAAAGCAAGGCTTGGCCAGGCTAATCTTAGTCTTTACCTCCACATCCCTCCTTAGCACTTCCAAAGGTCCTTGACGGTCGATTTCCCCAACGTGACACGTCTTTTGATGTCTGACAGCTGCTACTGTGGTTGTCGATTATGGGTCCGAATACAATGAACTCCTTGAAAACGTCATTGCTATCTTCAACTTTGGTCCAGTGATGAAGACTTTTGTTTTCTTGAAGTGGATATGTAATTAATATTGAAGACTGTTTGATCTTCTTCAGCAAGTGCTTCAGGTCGTCTTCACTCTCTCCAAGTCTAGTTGTGTCATCTGCTTAACATGAGTTGTTGATGAGCTTTCTTCCTCTGATCCTGATGCCTCCAGATTCTCAAATGCTTTTCTCAGCGTTCAGATTGTGTAGGTGTGGAGAAAGCATACAGCTGTAGGCACACTTTTCATGGAGTATTGTTCTGTTCGGACAACTGTTTCTTGGTCTATTTGCGTAAGCACAATTGAGTGTTCTGGGATTCCCGTTCTTCTCAAGGTTGTTATTATGATCCACACAGTCAAACACCTGTGCATAGTCAATAAAACACAAGTAAACGCCTTTCTGTAATTATCTCCTTTGGGCCTAGTTCATCTGACATAAGCAAGGATATCTTTCATATCAGGGCTTCTTCTGAATCCAGCTTTAATTTCTGGAACTTTCCTGTTGATGTACTACTACAGCTCATGTTGAGTGATCTTCAGTAAGATTTTACTTGTGTGCGATATGCTGTTATTGTTGGTTAACTTCCACACTCTGTGGGATTACCTTTTTTTTTTTCTTTTTGAATGGGAATACACATGGAACTCTTTCAGTCAATTGGCCAGCTAACTGTCTTACATATTTCTTGGCAAAGACTAGTGAGCATGTCCAGAGCCGAATGTGATGGTTTTAAAATTCAGTTGAGATAGACTCACGTTCATGTTCTGTTGAAACACCTCCCTTGGTATTCCACCAGTTCCTGGGGTCTTATGCTTTTTTGCCAAAGCTCTCAGCACTGCTTGGACGTCTTCCTTCGGCTCCATCGTTCTTGATCATCTGCAGCTTCCTGCCTCCACCGCAGACCAGTTCTCTTTGGTCCAGCCGCTCGGTACTTCACTTCCATCTTCTTGATATCCTCCCTGCATCGTTCTATACTTGTTGTTGTTATGTGCCATCGAGTCGTTTCCGACTCATAGTGACCCTATGCACAACAGCTCTAAACCCTGCTCTATCCTGCGCCAACCGCACCGCCTCTGACACACCCATCCCGATTATCCCAGTCACCGAATCAATCCATCTCATAGAGGGTCTTCCCCTCCTGCGCTGTCCCTCCACCCTCCCAAGCATGATGTCCCTCACCAAGGACCCGTCCCTCCTGGCAACATGTCCAAAGTATGTCAGACGAAGCCCCAGAATCCTTGCCTCCAAGGAGCAGCTTGGTTTAATCCTCTCCAAGATGGATCTGTTTGTTTTCCTGGCAGTCCAGGGTACATTCAGTACCCTTCTCCAGCACCACAGCTCAAAAGCATCCACTCTCCTTCTGTCCTCCCTAGTCATTGTCCAACTCTCTGATGCATAACAAGCGATTGCAAATACCATGACCTGTATCAGGCGCACCTTAGTCTCCAGAGAGACACTGTTGCTCCTGAGTACGTTTGAGAGGTCCCTAACGGCAGACTTTCCCATCGCGATACGCTTTTTGATTACCTGACTGCTGGTACCAAGAGTGTTAACTGTGGAGCCGAGCAAAGTGAAGCTGTGAACACTCTCAATCTCTTCATCTTCATACCACCTGAATTTAAGAATCATCTCAGGAACAGGTTTGAGGCCTTGAACACTAACGAGCGAAGACCAGATGAGTTGTGGGAGGATGTCAAAGATATCATTCAGGAAGAGTGTAAACGGTCATTACAAAGACAGAAGAGGAAGAAAAGACCAAAATGGATGTCAGAAGAAACTCTGAAGATTGCACTGGAGCGTAGAGAAGCCAAAGCACAAGGAAGAATTCAAGATACTAAAGAGCTGAACAGAAGATTCCAAAAGGCTGCTCGGAATGACAAAGCAAAATACTACAATGAAATGTGCGAGGAGCTAGAGTCAGAAAATCAAAAGGGTCGAACTCGCTCAGCATTTCTTAAGCTCAAGGAACTGAAGAACAGATTCAAACCTATACTTACCCGTACAATTTGTCAGTACCGCAGCTGGAGTTTGGTCTTCAGCTTTTCCATCTTGAGATGTGCCGAGGGTGTTCCTTCCCCCAGGTCTTTTGCACCCTCGTCGTAATCCTTCACTCTGTCTTGTGAGAAGCCCTTTGAAATCTTCATCTCTTTCATGTCAGCATTTCTTCCATTTGTTTAGGCTTCTCTGCATTCTTTTCAGAGTCTCTTCCGACAGCTACTTTGGTCTTTTCTTTCTTTGCTTTCTTCATCTCTCACCTTGTCTGGTCTCTTTAGTAAGTGGTGCTCAGTGCATCAGACCTATTCTTGAGATGGTTTTAATATCCAGTTGGGATGACTCAGGTTCATATTATAGTTCTTTTTTTAATATTGAATGTATCTTTTTATAGTTTTTTAATTTTAATAAACATTTATGGAAATTTTGGAATGTATCTTTTTAAATTAATTTTAATGAAAGTTTAGAGACTGAGGATTTCCATTCATTCATTGTTACACTTTTCTCCCTGCCCCCCCCCCCAATTCACTCTTCTCTTTGAAAAGGAAAAGGAAAATTCTTTCATTGTTATGCAATTCCTCTTCCCAGGTCCACTCCACTGTGCAGCCTTCATTTCAGACTCTTGTCATGACAATAATGCCTAATCATATATCCCTTTCAAACAGTTCTCTCCTTCATCTTTTCAAAGCAGTATACATAGCGTCCGTCTGGGCAGGTTGATGGACCCCTCCTCCTCTGGACCCTCCCTCCCGCAGCTGTAGCTTCTCTCCTTCCTGCGGCCCCGATGGAAACGTGCCCATGTGATTTTTAGTTGGCACAGAGGAACTTTGCTTTCTAGTGTCCTGGACCACAGACGTTCCGTCTGTGCTCTGATAGGTCCCTCCTAGTGTCCGTCATGGTGCCTAGTGATTACCTAGAACCAGATCCAACAGGCAGATGAGTTTGAGTTCCAGAGACCTCTAAAAAAATAAAGCAGATCACTGCCACCATCGGCAAAGCTGAGCAATGCTGGGAGCGGCAGCTGTGCGTGAGCCGGGGGTGCCTGCGCTGGGGGCGAGGAAGCCACCAGGCTGCTCGGGTGTTTGGGAAGCAAATCTCAGAGGCACATTGGTGGTGCTGTTAATCATGAAAGGAGTGTGTCCTTGTGGGGGTTGGTAGGTCGGGGCAAATGAGGACATGAGAGAACTGAGAGGCGTCAGGACTGCGTGAGACATGAGGAAAATCTGACCCTTGGGGCCCGAAGCATGCACAGAGCAGATGGCCCCTGTGACCTGGGCCTTTGTGACTTGTGGGGCTAGCGTTGAGGGACGGGGCCCAGCCCGGCTGACTGGCATCAAAGCCGTTCACTGGAGGGGTGGAGGTGGGTGACTGGAGACCGGTGACCCCTGTATCAGGCCACGTGGAGGGCTCATCTCATCTCATCTCCAACACCAGACATTTCCTCTCATCCTGGTGCCAGGACCTCTGGGGCCTCTACTGGGGCAGGAATGCCAGGCACAGCGAGGAGGGTGCCAAGGATGAAGACTTGGGCACAGACGCAGGCAGTGTGAAGCAGACAGTAAACCGGAAGGAATCAGGACAGTCCAGGTCCTGGTCATCTGTCCCCATCATGCCAGCCTGGGAGTGGCCCTGTCCCCCCGCAAGGCAGGACGGGGGCAGAGCTTCGGGCCTCTGCTCTCAGTGGCTCCAGCGCCCATTCTGCGGGTTCAC